TGTGGTCAAGTTGAGTTTTTACTGCATTGGATTTGTAAAGGGTACCTTGTCATTATTTTCGTAGAATCCGTAACCACGGGAATGGCAAATGCACGTTTGTAGGAAACAAACTGGTAACTATGGGAACTTTATTGGATTATGATAAAACGACCGGGCTAGATGAAGACTCCGTATATCGGTTTCCAATCTATCTTGGTATAGTCGGCTATGATATCGAATGGTATCGTGTCACGTGGTGGCTGTCATCGCGAATCACGAAACCGAAGGAATTTATATCTATCGGGAAATTGACGTGCGATTGATTTTGACTTTCGCGACTAGACAGACGCGTGTGTCTACAATGGGACGATTGCCATTGGCAAATAGACAAGTAATTAAGGATTATCCGAAATATACAAGAAATTCAATTTCCCCAGCATCCGCATACGTTAATGGAATAGAGATTTGAGGAAATTTGGAAAATCCCTCGATATAAAAACCTGACGGTGTGATCCGAAAATTTCGAAATATTGAAAAAACGAAGACAAACCCTTAAATTTTAAAGATCAAAGATTTTCTCACGTTCCGTTTTTTTTATAAAAATCGGACAATTTCATACTTTGAAATTCCGATTGATACGTCGCCGAGTATTTCCAGCCGTGTCGTCTGGTTTTCGTGGGTAGCAGCCTCGAAGGGAGAGATCAAGCCGTCGAAAGATTACGGGGACGAGCGATCTCATCTGTTCTGCCAAGTGCAAGAGGCAGAGCTCAAAGAACCCGAAAAATCGCGAGAGCCTAAAAAAAATGGGTAAAAAAAAAGGCGAATGAGCAAAAAGACTAGAAAAAGGTAAGACATAACAAAAATTTTCAGGTATACGAGAGAAACCGCGAGAGTAAAGGATAAGATGTAGAAAAAGCCAAAATGGTCCAGCGTACCGAGAATCCTCGGTTCTCGGTGGTAGGACTGGTAAAAAGGGTGGAAAACGAAGCGAAGGGTGGCGGCCGAGTACGAGAGAGGCGAGCGCGCGGGGTGGCGGCGGTAGGTCGTTATTTTTGTGCCTGCCTCGTCTTTAATTTCTCCCCACCGCGGCGACGCGGACGTCGCGACGCCCCAGAGAGAACGAGGAACGTCGGAGGTGGAGGAGGAGAAGGTAGACACCAAGAAAAAGATGGAGTCCACCGGAGCAGCCCGAAGGAGAGATGCGAGGAGTCTGATGCTTAAGAGAAAGAGCCAGCTGGAATGCCAGCACCGAGAGAGGGATGCCGATGAGCAGGACCAAGGGGAATAGAGAGAGACGAAGGGGCGGGAGGGAGGGAGAGAGCGAGAGAGAGCCACAGGAGAGCCGTGCGGTTGTCTTAGTTCGTATGCATATCTCAGTGCCTCACATATTGATTCAGGGCGTCATTACGCGTCTTAGCTCGGCCCAGTCGAATCCGCCGTTCCTCTTCCCTCCTCTCTCCTTCATTCTCACTCTCTCTCTCTCTC